GAAACCCTACAAATGGCTGCCTGTGCACGCACTCCCCCTCTTACCCCTCAGGGTGGCTGAACACTTGGCCCTTGGACATCTGCTCCTTTCCCTAGGCTTTAACCAGCTTCCAAGTTTTTATTAAGTGAATTCTACTCAGGAAGCCTAAATTAAAAAAAAAAAGAGAGTAGAAATTTCCTTGGTGATGTTAATTCAGAAACTCACAGATGGGCGAGTTGAATAATCACACCCACTCCACCCCCAGATCATTAAATGGCCCCTGGATGTCCAAAAGACCTTGAGTTACAACTGCTGCATGCTTTAAACAACACACAAATAAACAACTCCACCCCAGCCTGGGAGGCAGCCTGTCACTCACACTAGTTTACAGTGTCTGCAGCTTTCCCGTTGCGTAGTCCCTGCTACCAAACAACTCAAATAATTCCCAGGGGAAAAGGCCAATCGCAAAATGAAAGGGACTTTTAAAAACTTTTATTAAAGATATGATATATAGAACACCACATGGGGACTTATCTCTGCTGTACCCACTGGTGTTAATAAACAATCCTCCCCAAAACGCAAAATCAGGTCCTCTGTTCACATGAAAACAGACGGTTAACTATGTGATTTCTAAAGAGAGACTCGGTTATATTGGAAACTGGGAGAAGGTTCAGAAGAGAGACCAGGAGAAAGACCAGCGCAGCATTTGTGAGACCCCCAAAGGCGGCACTGGGGGGAGATGGTCAGGCAGGAAGGAAGGGGAGGGAGTTGAAAGAGCCCCTCGTTTCCTCAGCTGTTTGCAGCAGTTAGAACATATGGTGCCAGGGTTTTCCAAAGATGACAAAGGATAGAAAGTGCAATTCTTTTTTCCCAAGGCACGCATTCCCCTCAATGAAGGTATTACCTTCAGACTGGAGACCTTTCCTCCTTCCACAAGGAATGAGCAACGGCCACTTAGAACCAATTCTCATCATTTTGTAAAAATAACAGAGTGATTATGGAAGCAACAGAAGGCGTCAAGGTGTTTGGGCTAAAAATCTTCAAGATCAGTTCTGGTGGAGAGTGGGAATATCCAAACGGGTTCTTCATATTTCACATTTTATAGGCAGTCTTTTCCCTAAAGGATATATTTTCATTAGGTCATAAATGCACCAACAGATGAGAGAGGTGAACAGAGAGTTTGTGTGTGTGTGTGTGTGTGTGTGGCGCGCGCGCGCGCGCGGACGCGGGTAAGTGGGTCGTGATGGGAGGTGGGGTCCCAGCGCCAGGTATGTGGCGCCCACCCCCGCGAGCAGAGGTCAGGGAACCTTGAGCGGAGGCCGCCCTCAGTGAGGCTTCGTTTCTTCTGCTTCGCTTTCTTAGTTCTTAAGTTTCCGGTGGGTTCCACTTAAGCCCCTAACTACCCAAAGTCTAAGCTTCTACTTACCTAAAGGCCACGGGGGCGGGGTGGGTGGGTGGTGACGTGCTTTTTCAGGAGAGTTTGTTGAAATGTTAACTTGGAGAAGTTTACTTGCTGGGGCCTCACTGCCAGAGCCTAGGAGGGAGGGGAAATTGGTTTTCTGGCGACTTTCGCTCCCCGCTGGACCCGGATCGGAGAGGTTTACCTCCCCCAGCACCCAAGCCCTGCTCCAGGCAGGAGAGGACTCTGCAGACGGGAATCACCCGCCGCCAGCCACGCTGGCTGCTTTCAGCCCATTTCTCAAACTGAATCCGAGTTGTGCAACCAGCATTTATTCGCCGCCTACATCGAATCCCGGATCCGCAGTACTGATTTCACACTTAGACGTCGGTAGCAGTTCTAAAATTATTGTAAAATACCGCCGGGATGATATATTGTCTGTCTAGTCCAGATTAGCCAAGCCACGCGCGCATACTGTGTTTAAGTCACATCCCGAAACGCGGAGAAAGTTTCAACAGGGATCTACACTCAGCAGAGGAAAAGTGGAGCAAGAATGATTTCCCTCTATTTTGATTTCCTGTTTCTAAAGAAAGCGTTAGTATCAAGCGCGAGCTAGGAAATGTGAACTCAAAGGCGAGCAGGTCGCTGTCGTTATGCCGAATCACAGTTCGTAGTTCAAGGAAAACTGCCTTTAATTGACACCGTGTATATATGCTTCTGCTCCTCTCGGGCTGCCCAGGCAGGGACGCCCCCAGAGTATTTATTTCTAGGGCTGGAAACAAAACAACTAACCCGGTCGGCTGCGTAAGAGAGCGTTCCAAGATGGACTGCCGGAGGGAGGCTTTTTGACCCCTGTGGAAATTAGTCATATTGACAGACGCCGGGGGAAGGTAAATTACCCCGCGCGCTGACGTTACGCAGAAGCGCGCCCGGTTGCGAATCCGCCGCGGCGCCCGCGGGGCCAGAGGCTCTCGGTGGGTTTCTCCAGGTTCCGATGAAGCCCCGCTGTGCTTCTCTGGGCCAGGGATTTCAACGTGGAGGAGACAGAGAGGGCGGCAGAAAGGTGCCAGAGAGGAAAAGTACGAGAGAAAACCAAAAAAGTGGAGAGGAGGAGAAACGCGGTGCGCCCTGGCGCGGGCAAGCTGGAGACCTGGAGGAGAGGAGCGGAGTCCGCAGGGGAGGGAGGGAGGGAGGGAGGAAAGGGGGAGGCGGGGAGGGAGAGGGCCGCGGCTCCCGGCTCCCAGGTCCGCCACTTGGGAGGTCCCGGCCCCAGCACAGGCCCGGCCAAACGTCCCCCCGGGAGGCTCGCGGCTCGGGCGGGGTCGCAATTACACCTCGGCTCCAGGCGAGGACTTAAAAACCTAGTGGCGGGGGCTGCAGTCTGGAAGCAAGGCCCTGCGGTCATCACAGGGGGGCCGGGCCCGTGCACAGGAACCTTTTACAAGGCATGTGGGTACAAGAAAAAAAATCAAAATAAACCACTTTCATCCAGCGTGGGCCGTGAAAATAAAAGCTGCCTTCTAGCGGGGACGAGCGGGAGTTTTCAAATTCAGTGTGTGTTTTGCTGTTCTATAAAGGGTTTTGTGATTTTACCTGATAACCAGGGGGAATTCGGGGAAGGGGGAGGATAACTGCTAGATTTTTTTCCAGGAGAGGGCTGTAACAGCGGTTCACAGTTTTCTCCCAGATCGTCTTGGATACTGGTATGCAAGCAACTGCATATCCATATAGATCATTATACAAGGGGGGGGGTGAATACTGTTTGAGCGGATTATTGCTGACATAAAATAAGATCTAGTGGTCCTACCTCTTTTCTTTCCAAGACTGAGTCTGCGGAGAATGGAAAGTGTCCAGAAGCGGGGCATCTGATTTTACCCGATTGGACCAGAAGGCTTGGCTACAAAAGGACCGAATCCAGATGCAAAAACAAGGCGAAATTCGCCCAGGCTGCCTGG